ACACAGAACTGGGGTCCAGCCAAGTTGACACACAGCTCCAACTATCACACAGACCATGTTGCTCTTAACAGTCTTCTCTAACACCACAACTCAAACACATCAACTCTTCTTTGGTCTTCCTTATTCATTGTCCAGCTTTCACATGCATAAGAGGCAATTGAAAATACCATGGCTTGGGTTTGGTGCACCCCAGTCTTCAAGGAAATATTTTGGCCCTTCATCACTTGAAAGAGGTCTTTTGCAGCACATTTGCCCAATGCAATAGGTCATCTGATGTCTTGACTGCTGCTACCATTGGTGTTGATTATAGAACCAAGTAATGTGAAATCCTTGACAACTTCAATCTTATCTCCATCCACCATGAAGCTGTTTACTGGACCAGCTGTGAGGATTTTTGTTTTCTTTATATTGAGATGTAATCTATACTGCAGACTGTAGCCTTTAATCTTTGCTTGGGGGCAGCTCTATTTTAAGGCTGGGACCTGAGATAAGCAGGTGCAGTGGGGTTAGGAACAACTATGGGAGAAGAACTTGTCTGTCAGTTTGTTGTCCTGTGGCAGCTTACATATTGCTGTGAGGCTAGAGGCTATACCACCATTTTGCAAAATGCCAGCAGGGTTACTCATGGTGGACAGATTTCAGCAAAGCTTCAGGGCAGACAGACATGGAAGAAGGAAGAGGTCATCCACTTCTCAAAGAATAGTGATGATCATGGGTTGCATATATCTTTTCCTGACCCAGCTCTGAGTTCTTTAGGATATATACCTAGTAGTGAGATTGCGGGATCAAATGGTATTTCTATTTCCCACTTTTTAAGGTAGTGCCATACCATTTTCCACAGTGGTTGCACCATTCTACAATCCTACAAGCAGTATATGAGAGTTCCAACATCTCCACCCTCTCATCAGCATTTGTTGTTTTCTGATTTGTTGAATTTTGCTATTATTACTGGTGTGAGATAATATCTCATTATTATTTTGATTTTCATCTCTCTAAAGGCTAATGATTGCAGTTATTTCTTTATATTTGTTGGTCGCCTGAGTATGTTCTTTGATGAAGTGCCTATTCATGTCCTCTGCTCATTTTTTAATTGGATTGTTTATTTTTTTGATGTTTAAGTGTTGAAGTTTTCTATAAATTTTAGAGATAAATCCCTTACCAAATATTTTTTCCCAATCTGTAG